AAGTGGTCATTACCTTTGTCTAAAGCACCCCTTCCAATGATAATGTACAGTGAAGTCAGATCACTCCCTGCCGCTTGCGGTGACTTTTGAGAAATACGACCCCTTTCCTCTGGTACAAACCTTCCTGCTCCATTCCTACCATTTCCTGACTTTTACCTACTTCCTACCACCTTTTGCCTCTCCTCTTCCCAAGGTTATAAGTAGCGCGCATGGAAGAGGAAAATAAACAATCGCGAAATTGCGAAAAAGTTCTGTCCAGTTACGACCTCCCTCCCTGCGCCAACCAAATAAGCCCCCCCCCTCCCCGCTGAGGATTTCCCAACGTGCGGCGTGTCCTGGCTAAAATAGACGTGATTAATGAAGGTCATCAACTTGGTGATCTTGGCCATTGATGCAAGCTCGCCGCGCATCTAATCAAGGGGCGAACTCGGGCTCAGGAGATTGTTTTCTGTGTTCCCAACTAACAAGATTCTCCTATAGTCGGGTCTTGACACGTAGCCGCGCTACTTCTTGTCATTGGTGAATGTATTGGATTAGTGTGCTCAGCTGGAACACTCTTTGCCATGATGCGAGTGAAATATGCCATTCATTAGGGACGTTCCATTAGATAACTTCCATCGCAATGCGGATGCAAGGATCGCTTTGGAGTTATCGATCGATCGCGCGCGCGATTTCCTATGTTATGACTCTGAATATGAGGAGGGTATTTGTCGTTTTTAGCTGAAAGAACAGAGAAGCGTTGGAGGCGTAAAAATGCGCTCGGTGGTGATGCTCAGCTGCGCGCGCGTTCTACCACTCTTTTGTTTGAGCTGGACGAGGTGCGTTGTCGGAAGGATACACGATACAGTGTGTGCGTTCAAGTGGATGCCGTAACATATGGATCATGTGAATCTTAGAGAGTTAAAAGATTGACGAGTGAAATGAGGGAGGTGCAACGTAGGACGGAGAGGCGCGAAATCTTTATTATCTCTCCTGAGGTCTACGGATCAATGCTAGCTAATGCTAGCTCGTCGTTATGATAAAAGTGGCAGACGTCGTCGTTCAGTAAAGTTTGTTATTGGTAAGTACAAGTCTCGGTCTGTGTGTGTATGTATGTATGTGTGTGTGTATTGTTCTCATCTCTCAAGTGTCGTGGTGTCGTTTCAGCCGAGTCGAAACTCGAAGCCGAGTATATTCGACGATTTTTGGGTCAACTTAGTCCGTTGGAAGAGTCGCGACTTTGTGAGCTGAAGTATGGACTTCAAGCACATCATAAGGTACTTTTGTCATCAGTATTTCGCTTTTATTCCGATATTTGACTACTGAGTAAAACTATTTGTCCTGGTACAGTCAGCTTCTTCCTGGTACTACTTTCGTCATTGATCCATCCCTTTTGGGATAAGCCATGCACTCGACGTCCATTCAGAATTATAGTGGTTTGTGAAGGCGGCCTAGCTTTTGCATGGCCCATTCGGATCGCTAATCAGGGTTTTTCTCTGCCAGGCAATCGTGCTACCAACTTACCGATCTTGGGGCAGAAGACCTGGTTGTTCTGCGCAGGATCCTGACTTTGATCCTCATACTATGGGTGTGGTAAGCGTTGCCATCTGCTATCACATCGTCTCCGCCCGTCAGTTTTTTTGCTATACAAATATCCCAGCACCCACATTTCCTTTCCTTCATTGTACAGGCCAAATTGCACTCAAATGTACTGCATTTTGCAATGAGAGTCAAATGCATGGCGCATATCCTGTATTGATTGACGCGAAGTGCTTCGTCAGTTTAAGTCCTAATGCGCGCTCGCGTGAGAGGCTGACAGACCCAATCGATCACCGCGGCAGGGTAGACACATCACAGTAATATTTATATTGACTTGTATCTGTTTGCTTTAAGAAAAGTATGTTTACCTAAAGGCCCCACTATTTACCGCGATAATAAGTGCTCATGATCGTCTCAAAATGTGTCGACACGATCCGGAAGGCTGATTCTGTTAGGCTGCGGTTAGCTTCAAAATGTTGAAAAATCGGCATAACCGCAAGCTAGAAAGTGCTGACTAATTTATACCCATTGGACACCCCTTTAGGCCGCATGCCGACGCTCACACGGTCTGCTAGCTTACTAGCTAGAGGCCATTAATGTTCATCTTTTCTCTATAACATTTCGGATTTGCTTTTTTTCTGGCTGGCTCCCTCTCACTGCTAAAATGCAGATACTCTTAGCACTTTTTTCGTGCCTATTTGTTAGTTGCCGTTTTCCCGCAATTTTTTCGGTCGTCGAAACACTGTGCCTTTTAATGATTTCTGGCGTGCACGTGCAGTAAATGAAGCATGTTGTAACTGATTTCAGGCAGATTCTGCAGAAGCACGCGATTGGGCTACTATAAGATACGGGTGTCAACTCGCAAACGCCGTTTACCGCGTCGCTGGACGTGCTAACAGCCCTTTACTGGTCACCCTGGTATATCATTGGCATTCTCTCTTCCTTCCGGCGCCTGCCAAACATTAAATTGTCCTACGTTTTGGTATTTCTTCATTCACAAAGTTTCGTAGGAGAAGTTTCACGCATGAATTTTTGCCAAATCTGATAAATTACTTTGTGCATCGTACATCTCATATATTGAACTGTGCGCAGGGGAAGAGAGATGGAGAGCAACGTCGAACTCTAGCTTCTCTTTTCCGCCTTTTTTAAATACTTTGTTGCTGTAAACTTCAGCTTCCAAACATTTATGAGAAATGGTAAAAATGAACATTACGTCGCTATACAGGATATGTCAAATATTTACGATATGTTGGTTTATTCTGAGAACCACCCATGCGCATCTCACGGTTAAAGCTGGATTACCAACGCCTATTAGATCTTGGCTTATTGCTAAAAAGTTTGTCATCCCTCTTTCATATAACAACAATTTAAATTTAATTCTATGTAAATATCCTGCAATTTTTATTAAATTTAACGTCATCGCCTGGTTCTTAAGTCAGGATCAGCAGGGATGGTGAAATTGCTTAATGTCCTCATGTTTCTTCTTTCTTCTTACATTTCCTCTTCCGATAACTCGACTCCCACCTGCCAACTTTCCGAAAATTCGCGCGCATCAGCTTTCCTACCCGTTTCCCGTGATTTGCCTCTTCTTTCCCTACTCCCACCTCTGCCCGAAAAAGCGTATGTCAACACGGAAGCAATATTCTAGCTTCTTTTTGCGGTGGACACAGGAGGAGGAAGGGAGGGGGGGGGGCACTTAGCGTCATGAGACGGATATAAAAAACTAAGAAACTAAAGCACTGTGTGAACACCTGTCGCTTGCGGCGAAAAGATTCCTGTGGGAATCCCGGTCTACGATCTCCATCCTGCACCTAACAAACAGACTTCCCGTCACTTACCTTTCCGATGACATTATCCGCCTAGTGTGCCGCAGCGGTTTCTGTTCGTGAAAGTGTTATTCGCAAGGAGTAACTGTAAGGCTCTCTAGAAAAAGATTGGTAGTGAAGGCTCATATTTGTTTTATTGGTTCATAATGGCTTTCTGCCCCTCAGGAGCCTTCCTCGTGGGCAATTTTGGTCGTCATTGCCGCTAATACACTTTGCTAATTTTTCTTGAAGGAATCAAAGGGAAAAGTATCTTGGAGCAGGTACTTCGACTTATACCTACTTTGAAATGAGTTCGGTTTAAGCGTGGTATTACTCAGATCCAACATGTAGTTCTCTTTCTTCTTTCAAAGAATCGTTTACATTATATAGCACTTTCTTCTTTAACGCGAATTTGCCCAATGCTCCTTAACTTCACGCTTATACTTTTTTGAAGCTATCATGGGCTCTGTGAAAATGGTCCTACTTCGGTTTTTTCCTATTACTGTGTCTACGAAATGGCAGGCCTGCTAACCGCTATGCTCCATCGGTCGCTTAGTTTTCACAGCCTTTTTGTCGGGCTAATTTAGGCTTTTCGCATTTTTTGCGCTTTTGCCCCTGTATCTCCTATTCGAATCGTTCCATTAGCTGCCAGCGATTATCCAGGGCTGAAATGGGTCCTACAACATCTCGAAATCGTACATCTGACATCTATTAAATGTTTAATTTGAATAACTTATAATTAAGTAGGAGTGATGGTGGGGTGATGGTTAGCGTATTGCGTCTCTTACCACACACACAACTCGGGGATCAAATCGCGCCCCAACTTCTGCCTGGGATAACTAGAGCTCCATACCTCCAGAGACGAGCAGTCGGTGCCAAACATCTTGGGAGAAGAACACATTGGCTTCTACCGATAGCACTTAAAAAGCCACTACGATCCCGAATGAAAGTCAAATGCATGGCGCATCTCAAAAAATGATTCACCAAGCTCGATACCCTTCTTTTTGGTAGTTTCTTGTTTAAGGGTAAGCTGCCGAACGACGCGCATTTGTTACGATTCTTACGAGCACGAGATTTTGATGTCGCCAAAGCGAAGGAGCTCGTCCACAATAGTATCATCTGGAGAAAACAACATAATGTTGATAGGATATTACAAGTAAGTAGTAGTTTGATCTATTGATCGATTGCCTGTTGGTTACATTCAAAAAATTCGTCACTGCTTTTGATTTATTTTTATCTCATTACAGGAATGGACTCCCCCTGCGGTGTTGACGCAATTCTTTCCAGGATGTTGGCATCACAGCGACAAGGTTTATACTTCTTTTTGAGTGTTAATTTTTTATTCATCATTATATATAGTTAATTAATATTATAATTATAATCTTCAATCAGCGATATTTATAGGTATTCTGTATTTTGTACCTCTTTTAGGAAGGGAGGCCATTGTTCTTGTTACGTCTGGGTAATCTTGACATGAAAGGAATGCTTCGATCTTGCGGCTTGGAGAATATCGTCAAGCTCACGTTGTCCATTTGTGAGGAGGGCTTAATAAAAACAGCTGAAGCAACAAAACAAATTGGAGCACCTATCAGGTTTGTTAGTTAACGGTCAACTTTGATTAGCCTTTTTTCGGTCCTGTGATAGGGCGTTCATGCGAACGCGGTCGTCTCGCAGATGTATTCCATGGCATGCAGCGAAGTGAAGTCCGTCGTGGACTTTGTAGCGTCTTTCGAAGATAGGCTGGAGCTGAATATTAGGGCTAATTACATGCGGCTCGCCGCTGCGCGACCGCACACGCTCTAGCCACGTTTTGTGGAAGACTGGGGGTTCATCTCATGGTCAGATTTAGTGAGTGGGCAAGCTGTGATTCAGTGTCATCGCCCCGTGCTATTTATTTACTGTTCATTTATAGCACATGGAGTCTTCTGGTCGACTTGGAAGGCCTAAGCATGCGGCATCTTTGGCGACCAGGTGTGCAGTCTCTACTGCGCATCATCGAAATCGTTGAGGTTAGTCTCAAGGAAGAGTATCTGCTCGGATTCTGTTCCTTGTAGGGTAAAGTAGTACTGTATTCATGCGAGAAGGATATTTTATCTTTTTCGAACTACAGTATGCAGTAGCAACAAAACACTAACTGTCAACAACAGTGTGAAAAATTTTTTCTCGGTTTTCTTGCGATTTCTTTGAATTTTCTTTCTTCTTTGTTTCTTTCGGTGTACAAAGTGGTGAAACAAATTGTTAAAATGAAGGCACAGTCCATGCTGGTCGTACGGGCGGAGGCAGAGAACATTGTTCTTTCCTACTGGGGCGCCCCTCTTACTGAATCCTGGAAGAAGGACGCAGACACGGGCCATTGGCTCAGAGGGAAAGGCGCACTAGTGAAGGACCGCATAGAAGTGGCCTCTCATCTCCACCTGCACAGATTGTGCTCGGACTGTTCCTCTGCAAAGACAGACTTTCAGGCCTCATTGATCCGGAAACGATGGGTTCAAGTGCTAATGTTAAGAGCCCGCGAGGTCTTTCCATTTTATGGACCTTGATATTACTTCCATTTCATCGATGAGAATACTCGCAACAAGTTCATGATCAATAGTGGCGAGGTAGTAAAAGATGAAATTAGTAAATACGTTGACGAACAATACATTCCGGACTTCTTAGGTAAGACAAGTTTTTTTGGGATAATCCAGTCACCCACCTATCCTCCGATAGAGAAGTGCCCAACACTTATTCAAAATTTGATATATTTTTCGAATCGGTCTAGGTCAGTTTGTATCTTAGCAGAATTTGTCCATTTCAGGTGGTGCATATCCAAAATCCTCGTACAGGCCGCTGTGTTGAGAAACCAGAACTCTGCTGACACTGCCTTGAATGGCTAGACTCAGCTAAATCGGATACGAAGGATCTGTCACTGGACGAGGTTGACCCCCAGCTAGAGCGTGAAACTTGTTATCTATCTTAATAAATAATTAGATAAGAAAATAAATAATCATAAATCTATAACTATACATCTAAATGAAAAATTACATGAAGTAGAAGATAGTGAAGCGACATAGAGCGCGACATCAACCAACGAACTCAACAGGTCCTGAAGGATCAAATCTCAGGATTGACCTACTTCCACAGACCAGCCAGCGCCTCATCCGATCTAAATTTGCGGACACCAGGTGAACTTGGAAGCCGAGAATGCTGTCTAGGAGAATACAGCCGCCGCTGACTACATTGGCTGGCACCGCATCTCACGTGGGGGCTATATCGGAATAGAGCCTACTGGAAATTTTGAGCGGAAGCAGATGTGGTAGGCGCAGTCCCAGAAAGGGTCTGAGCAGCAGTGGCAAGCTTACTATACTTTTTAGATGTAATTCTTGAGGGAAGTTAGTGTAGTCTGGCTTCGATTAGCTACTATTTTTAGGATAGCGCCTCTATTCTAGGCGTAAATGTAATAGATACAGCAGTTAGGCTCCCTGAAACTGAATGTGAGTGCAATCTCGGCCACTAAAAACACTTCCCCGAATGCAAATCGTAGATATTATGGGTTCCAGTACGAATGCCAATGCGGTATGCAACGCCGCATTCGAGAGAGAAAGCACTAAGACTGCGTTCCATAACTTTACGCAGCGTCCACCAGCCCCTGCCAGCGTCTACCATCGCCCACCAGCGACCACTAGCCTCCGAGCGTCCGGCAGCGTCAGCGACTAGGAAAGTATAGATATCGATCTAGCGTCTGCCAGCGTTAGCGTCCACCAGCGACTGGGAGTAGAGAGTATGGGAAAGTAGGAGGGTAGCAAACATCTGGGTCAGGCTTTGCAGTTGTGCGGTGCGGTTGCACACGCTGCAATTTCACAATGCCTAATCCAGCTGTTTGCTACCCTCCTACTTCCCCATACTCTCTACTCCGGTCGCTGGTGAACGCTGGTGGACGCTGGTAGACGCTGACAGACGCTAGATCGCGACCTATACTTCCCTAGTCGCTGACCGCGCCACATTGTGTACGGAAGGGATTGTGCTTGCCGTGCGATCGCGGACTGCGTCTTTGATATGGTGCTCTTCCGTGTTTCAATCTATTTGTAAGTGTCACGCAGAGAGGCATCAAAAATGGTAGAATTAGATTTTCAAAAACTTATAAAGCCGAACGTACAATCTTGTTCGCCGCGGATGAAGGGGCGTGTTAGAAGGAAGGGGTTGACGCGGGCAAAACCCTTTGTTCACCAGCTGTTGGCGCAGGTGAGCGGCAACGATTGGTGGAATAAGATTGATACGAACGATGTGGTAGAGTCTTGTCGTTTGCTCGCTTTGACTACCGGAACGGGTTTGGCTCCGAGCCAAGCCCATCTCCCTTGACACGTACCTTCATCCGTAGCGAACTAAAATCTACTACCAATTTTTCTTTTATCTTTCGAATGTTCCGGTAACTAGTGCCCCACTAAAAAGAAGTACTTATTTAGGTTGTTGTACCAATCGCTTCATCAGGATGTGTTCTCACATGGGATTTCGATATTCTGAAGAGCGACTGCGAGTTCGTTGTTTATCACACTCCAAAGGTTTGTGAAAATAGCTTCTTTTCCTTACTGTTTTGTTCCTATTTCGTAGAGAGTTACTTGTTTTTATCTATCCACTTATTTAGCAGTCACACAGGAGTGTGAAAGAGGTAATAAAGTGCATTTGAACAAATACGTTTACCAGTGTACCTCCAAGCAGGGTTAGCTGAATAGACATCGTCCTTCAAGTTCTGGCAAGTCCTGCCCAAGTCCTTCCTTTTCCTCTTTGCTGTGGTTGAATCATTTTCGGTTGTTGTTGGCCGTTCCTAAGACAATCTGCTCTTTGGACTGGGTACATTGTAGACATAGGAATATCGATCAGTGACGGAGCAACACGTCTCTATGCGCTCGCGTATCCCATCCTGGAGAGCTGCGAACTTCGTGCGAAGATTCGGGTCGCCGCGCTTCAGGTGGGACACTGCCGGCAAGGCAGATGTGTGATAGTTATTTCAAATGAAAATGTCACTCATATCAGATATAAATATCAAACAAAATGGAGTCCTTCGTCATGTTCGAATGAACGAAGCGGCCACGCCCTCCCCTTCTCATGGTATATGGGGTGTAGATTCCTGCATGTCTTTTCAGAATTTCATAGCTCTTCTGAAAGTGTTGCCTTTTTCCGTCTAATTCCTTTTCGGGTAGAGCTGCAATGTGTTTTGATGTTCTTTGCCCAACCATAACCTGCTGAATTACCGAATGCACTTTATGAAATGAATTCTCCTTGAAGAAAGTTAGAGCGGGGCAAACGAAGGAGAAGCTTAGTCGCGTCATCTCTGTTTGTCTGTATCCTCTCACCAAGACGGTATCCTTGAAACGTGGAAGCGGTTCTTGACACTCTCGTAAGGGAATTCATTCAGTTCCGAATAGTACAATGGTGCTATATCCACTCTATGGCATCCAAAAGATGTGAGAAGGTAGAGATATATTAGAAAAAGACTTAGCGTAGTAGTCAAACCTCCGCATGCCCCTTACCCTCCTCCACCGATTACTTTTACCCAAATTTTAGACCACCATAGTAAGTAAATCACTTTTTTGTAGGTGATTCAAGAAGCGGCCGTTCCTCACTCTCCCATGATGATGAATCCAGTCGAGATGGTGACAGCAGCGATTGCCAACAATCCACTGCCAGTAATCTCATCCGATCCGTCTCTAACACTTGGTCTCGATCTCACAATTGAAGAGAAACCGGTAGTATTTCAAGAAGGAGATTCCATGCAGGTTTGTCTGACAGAGAAGTCAATAATTCAGCTTTGTTTGTTTATTTTCATTTATTTATTTGTTTATTCATTTACTTACTTATTTATTCAATTCATTTACCGATTAACTAATTTGTTTTTCACGCACGCATAGACGCGCTACCAGGATTTATCAAGATGGATTTGTTGTCGACATTCTTAGAATAAAGTGGAGTAACAAGTTTTTCAGTTGAAGGCACAGTCCACTCTTGGTGGTGTGGGCGGAGACAGAGAACCATAGCTCATTTTGTTCCTGAGCTATATACGTCATAAAGTTTCACTTAATCTCGGAGTATGATCAGTAATTTGCCTTTTTGTTTAGCGAGAAAAAACCCGTAAATATCTTGCATAATCACCTATTATTTTTTCATTATTAGGTTGTTCGAAAAGTCCTGCGACACTTTGATTAAATTGTTTTAAAAAAAGACCAAAAATCATTTTGGATGTTTTTATCCCTGATTAGTGGAGAGTGTCCTCTGGGGTTTCTGCACATGGGTATATCATGACTTTGAGGAAGTTTTCAAAGCTTAAAAGTCCCCCAGAGATCGAGGTACTTTTCGACCTATCCCATATTATGAGTTCCTGTAGGGCCACTCCGCCGTAGTCGAGGAAGCTGACACCTACGTTGTCTTGAGGAAGGATATCGCTTGCCATGGCAGAGGGTAGCTTTTGCATCAGCGCCTCTCAGGCTGACTATTAACTCGTAGCTTAAGGCTAATGTATAGGCCCCATCAGCACAGAGTGAGGCCCTTTACTCAAGCTTCTTGAGGCGCAGCCGAAACGTAACCACCGGTAAGTTGGCGACCTCTCTAGGCTCCACCTGACTGACAACTGCCATGCTTCTCCGCAATCTCGGTTATCGGAAAAATTTTTTGTGAAGGATGCCTCATGAGTTGGACCCGTCTGACAAGTCATACCGAATGACCGTGACTGAGTTTTCTTTTCCTTGTACACAGCGAAAGAACTTTTGTGAGATCTTGTTGGTAGCGAGTGTGTGGAGTCCTTGCGTACATCATGCACATGTCCCTCGCAGGATCTCTCAAAGTAAGTAGAGTTGCCTACGCCAAAGCAAGATGTGCATGGGATAGAACGGTTTCAGTTATGGGGGACTTCAAAGCGGTATCACTGGATACTAGCACCGTTGTAAGGACCGCAGTCCACCTTAATCGACTTCAAAATATGGATGACGTCACGCTTGAATTCATTCAGAAATACTCAATTTTTCTCTACTACTCGGCAATGCGAGGACCGCATGTGGGATCAGGCTACGCCAAAAGATCATGGATTTCGATCGAGAATGCGGTTATTAAACAAAGTTAGCAGCCTCTAATTATCACCTCCTTTGGTCCCTATCGCATCCTTTAGAAAGCAAAAATTCCGAAAATCGACCTCAACTCGAGAGTGAGGTCCACCTCTTCTTTTTATCATAGTTGCCGTAGTTCTATGAGAATGGAGATTGAACTTACAAAGAAAGGCACTAGTTCCTAGTCATCAAACGCTATCGTCTAGTCCATCAACTAGCTTTAGAATGAGATGTCCTTCACTGACCGGAAATTTAGTTCAAAATTTGGTCAAAGTGTCGCAGGACTTTTCGAACAACCTAATATTTTTGAACTGTTTTATATTAGTTGTGCCATACCTAAGTTCATATGTTCATTTATTTATGTCTATTTTTATCCTTCATTCTAATGCTAAACTGTGATAATCATTTACATTGATCAATAAATACTAGTTGAATAAAAAGTAGCGAACATGTGAGGCTACTTTGTCAAATGTGCTATATATTTGTTATTTCAGGGCTCGCATTTCTGTTCACGATCAGGCACTTATATTCTTCAGTGGAGGATACCTGAGGTAATGGGATTTCCGATATTCGTAATGAATTTTACAATTATATTACTCATACTTACTTGGAGATTACTTGTATTACCAATGAAATCAATTTATTAGGAAGACCGCCGGAAGTATATCGATTTTGCGCATGCATGGATAACTTTTTGTTTTATCATAATGTTAGCCCCCCGGCCTTTGCTCAAATAAAGTTAGCCGACTTTAGTCGACCACCCAAGAACATTCCAAGCCTATTGGTAAGGTAAGCAGTGCAGTTCTCCGGTCGCCCAGTATTTTTCGAAGGGAAAGCTAGCCGATCCAACCACATGTGAATCATTACTTCAGCATCTGAATACAGTATCGCTTCTTGATCGCAGTATCACCGGAGAAGGAAAGTACGCGTTTTGTAGAGTAACCCGAAACGCAAAATGCAGTAGCTCTCTCTATCATTGGCCGGTTGATTAAAACCCCGAGGCCTCCTTTAGCATCCCAAAACATGCTCTGTGTATTTTGGATAGTTTCTCGCGCTGGCTTCATGTTGAACCGCAATTGTCATTGAAACCGTATTGCGCGTAGACGACCCTCAAAAAGCACTGGACCGGAAATGGGAGATATTGTTACCCTTAACGGCATATGGCGTGATAAACTGGTACCCGATCTAAAATGGCAAGCAGGGCCATACAGTGTGGGAAACTGGGACGAAAGAAAGTAGTGACGTCGTCAAAAGGCCTGCAAGAAACCTTTTCTGCTAACTTAGAAAGCAGTGCGGACGAGTTTCACGCTTGCGCATCTTTGCAATTAACGCTATAGTAGATACGGCTGCACGTATGTATGCTTACTATATATCCATGCAGCACCGTAGCCCGGCTTATTATATCAATCCCTTCGCGCTTCATGCCGTGCTCAGAGGCGCAGAATTTTGTCTTGCCAGGCGTACCAGTCTTACTCGTCTCAAGGATTTATCGTGCCAACTGCCTTGAACCATTTTACTCCTCTAACATTTGCCGTTCGGGTTGTTAAGTTTGTTATCTCAGTCGGCTAACACATTGTCCGTCGCAGATAATTTGAGAAGCACTTATCTAATTGCATAATATGGAGACAAGTGTTGTAGGGGAAAGTGGCCCATACCACTCCCGCAGTGCGTGTGATTCAAATCCTGGATCGCGCACCAGTCTTGTTCGTCTCAAGGATTTATCGTGCCAACTGCCTTTACTCGTCCAGGCCAACCAAGCCTTCTACTCTCCAGGCATGGTACTTTGACACCCGATTCGTCTGGGATGTAACAACACTGATTCGTGCATCGGCTGGCTGCGCAAGTCGTTGTATGGGTCCACATCGCTTTCAAAAAGCCTCTACAACTCTGAATTGAAGAAGAATGCGTGGCGCATCCTAAAAACGTTGATTGGAAGCGGAAGCTTTATCCTTTTCGTCCATTATTGAATATTGAGGTATTTCACTGGGAAATCTGTTGCTTTCTATAGAGCTGGTACTGCAGCTTTGTCTACTGGATGACAAAAGGATGTAGTTAACAAGGAGGTGGTTGCATCATTGTTTTTGAAAATGAGAAATTCCGGAGAACTAATCTGTTTGAAATTTATGCAGCAAGAACGATATTACCTCCCAGTCTCCCTAGTACATTCAATTACTATTCCTAACTCATTTACTTACAGATTCCCGGCCAACACAACACCACATTTGACTTTAGTATTGGTAGCCATAAATGCAAATTAATGTATTATCATGAATTATTGGACTCGGCCGACTTTAGGTAAGTTACTAATGCTTTACTATTTTCCTTCTCGTGGATTCCCATTGAATTTCTATGAACTTACTACTTTTCAAAAGCATCCCAGAGGGATGTTGTCTTCGTTTGAGCCCAATGAGTGATGCGTAATAACTTCGAATAGTCTTGGTGGTAAATCAAATTTGCCCATGTTCATTTTGAAGTCGCTAAAAAACGTTAACTTTGATGGTCCCGATGCTGCTATCTATGCGTTTCACTGGCAGAGCGTCAAGGGAGACAAAGAACTCGGGTATTCTGGAGGGAATTCATGGGTTCTGCGCTATCGTTAGACATCACCCCACGGAGGGCTTCCTTCTCACATATTGAGGGATGAGGTAGCGAAACAAAATTTTGGGTTTTGCTTAGATGTTCTTGAACATTTGACAGCCAGTATTTTTTGAGTTAGAAGAGGATCCATTCAGGGATAAGTTGTGCGGTGCCGTTCAGTACAACTGCAACCTTGAGGACAGCAGAGCACATACTAGTCCGCTTCGCAGTATTTCTTAACTAGTTCTCTTGCCGTACTGTAACGAGTTTACAACAGACCATACTGTTCTAGTAACGGTCTGACTTATGGCGTAAACTCAAGAAATTTTGGATGCGGTAGTTGATGGGGGCCACGCGGCGGCGCGACGACATGGAGGCTTCCATCCTCTGTTTGGAGTTAGTAGAGCGGCACCACAACGGTCCTCAAGCAATCTACTATCGGCAGCTAAGTAGAGCCAAATTGGAGGGAAAAGACTAGATACAAAGGTAGCTCATGATTTCCCACAAGATAGAGGTTGGTAGTGGCAAGTGGCACTCACCACACGCGCCATGCGAGGGTCGAATCCCAGATCGGCCCACTCCAAGGCCAACCAAGCCTTCTACCCCCGGGAAGATGGGAACCCGGAATGACAAGAACATTGATTTTCACATGCGCTTGCCTTCGCATGTCCTTATATGGGCCACATCGCTTCCAGTAGGACACTACGACTACGAATGGAAAATGGATGCATGCGCATCCGAAAAAAGATACCATCTTCATCGTTCGTCAAGGAATGGAAGCAGCAAAAGGGGAAGCTCATTCTGGCTTTTTTTCAGGAGGCCGTGTCCTTTTCGGTCTTCTTATTCCCACTGAATATGTCCTTGAAAGCAGCGTTTACCGAAAAATCATGGCCATATCTTGCCAGAAAGACTTCCCCAGGGAGGCAAAGATGCAAAACATAACCCGCATCAGCTTTTTTAGTGAAACATCTTCCAAGGAACCAGGCCAAATACAAGCAAGTTTGGCACTATACTGTCATGCCCCAAACGTTGTGTAGGACAGGAGAATTCCGCAAGGCGGATATCCAGCACGAACCTGCACCTTGGCAACGCTGGCGGGTGGAGGCTGCCACTCTACTCTGGAGTTTTATGCGTGCCTTCACACCCAAAAACCCACCAAAAGGATGTGGCTTAACGAGTGAGGGAAACGCACGAGTCGTTAAGGGTGCAAGCATCAAAATGTGTCGACGTTTTATGTGGTGGGGCAATATGACGCAAGAGTATATTAAGGCAGGTGGCGGAAAATCGCCTAAGACGACTAGGATCAATACTCGCTGCAGGATAGAATTCCGCGCCCCTGGCAGCGCTGCTCAGAACGGTTTCACCCGAAGTAAGGTGCCGCTTATAAGGGCGCCACAACCTTTCATCCCAAACGCTCGCCCGCGCCAACAAAAGCGGACGAACCGCTTCCTGACCGCTCTGTCTTATTCAGTTTGCTGAGCACCATTAGTGAAGCTAAAGGGATTTGAGGGGAATGAAGCGGTCGTGATGCCATGGCATACATTTGGGTACAATATGCAGCCGTCTTCGGTAGCGGTGATTGGTAAGATGCCTACGGGAAACTCGTCCGAAATCGATTTTCAAGTCACTGAGAACGGAGGCTTTTTCTTCGCAGGATTTTGACCGTTTCACTCCGTTTCGCCATTTTCCCCCACTATACAGCGGCCCGTACTAGCATCTTTAGCTAGCAGTGGAAGCCATCGTGTCTACCGCCTCCAATCTATCTAACTACTCTTTGCGTGCTGGAGAGTAGGAGCTATTATCGATTTGGCTAACATTTCCAAGCACGAATGGAGTATTGACTCACCAGTCCTGAAGACGAGGCGCTCTCAACCACCGATGTATTTATAGCAGTAACCTTGGGAGTGGTGACTTCCAGGAGTGCTTGAGGCAATTGGTCGTCCTCCCTGTTGCTTGAGGGCTATATGGTAGAGAGGCTGTTGAGTAGTGGGACTAGTTTGTACTGCTATTTTTTCCAATAGCGTTGCAAACCCTCTCACACTGAAAGACATATTATGAATTTGGACAAATCCCTGTACGGGATGCGAAAAAGTCCAGGGGCAGGAATTGAAGCCCCTCAAAAACTTTCCCTGTAATTGCCACAGGACCAGCTCCCTGCCATTGGGCCCAATTTTTTTTCTAAGTTCTGAAAGCGTTGGATATGGTTTCGTGTATTCTAAATTTCGCGGCCCGTGGAGATGATGGAGACCCCAGCGAAACTCCTTTCACCACGGGTTTCTCTTTGTTTTCACTTGATTATCCTTTAGCTGTTTCCTTTCATACTGCCTGCACAATAAAGGGGCGTAAATTTGAACTCGTTTGGCGTTGATAAACCTTTTGGTAAACCTTTTTCAGGACGCGTATGGCATTCTTTTTACAGTCAGAACCGTAGTGGAATTTTGGGTGCTGTATAGTTTTTATGACGGCTAAAGGCAGCCAAAAATTACATAGGACAGCGGTTTTATTATGGTAACTGCTGCTTACAATTAGCGCCACAGTTGGCGCTCCTAAAGTTCTTAATGAAGTTGAGTTAGTAGCAAGAGACTTACCACCTGACACGACTCGAATCTGCTCTCACGCTTTCTGGGCGAGTGTGCCAGCCGTTGCGCCACCAAGGCTGCCTCCTCCCCTCACAACTTCGTGGCTTTTGTGATGTGACCACGGAGCAATTGGATGTTTCCGTTATGAGCCAGTGTCGGCTGTGAACCAGGCACGAGTATCGCCTAGGGTCAAGTCTTTTAACACTGGCTCAACGTTCTTGGTGAAGTCAGTGTTTTCGTCATCCCGGGCACGTTTGTTGCTAACTAGCCGGCCTCAGAGGAGTGGGAGGCTTGGTGACACTCGCAGGGAACCGATGCGAGGTTAGGTCCTCAGACGGTTCACGTGGCAGGCAGCGTTACTCGCCTTTACACCATTTCCACCCGAAACTATTGTCACAGGCATACTTGTATATATTTTCAAATACTCTGTCTCCCCTTTTCTAACTGATCCCGTCCTTTTTGGTTTTTTTCTCATTTGACTCTCAACCGAGTCATTTGAAGCTGAAACGCAGCACAAGACAGCAACAGCTGAACTCGAGTTCTTTTTTAATAGGGCTTTTGCTTTGCATACAAGATTGATGGACACGTCAGTAGATATGCTAAGCGGTTT